ATGTATTAACCTCTTTCCTTCAAGTAATATCCTATGACGATTAAGTAGCTAGTTCAAGTTAAGTTGCTTAAGGGTATCGATGCAACTTCCACAGAAATGGCTCACCAAGCTATCGAAGTGCAAATATATTCTAATTGAAATTATTACTATTCGCCTCACGTTATTCCCTTAAAGGGGACTGCTCTTGGCATAACCCCTACGTCTCTAGCATCTCACGATCGTGTAGTTTTTCACGCCAATTCTCATGGAGATGAGACCCTTATCATCCCATCAACTCCTACGCTTTACTTCCCACTCGAATTTCCCAAGGCGACTACAGCGCTTCGCTTCCGCAGTCCATGGAATAATTTAGATCTTAGTATAAAAATTTGATGCGGTTCAATAAGAATTGATGCATAAATCCGCTTACATAACAGCTTACTCGTGTTCTGGACTTAGATATGCAAAACCCGCTATTTATATCCGGTTAAAACTGGTTAACTTATTTCAAATATTTTTATTTAAATTTTCAGTCAAATCAAAAAAAAAAATTTTGTTTCGTGAAATTATTAGTCTAGCCTCTTGGGAATAATCCTAAGACTATTTCAAGACTCAAATCACAAAATTTATAATACTTTGTTGGACTAGGGAATTGTGACTAAGTCTATTTTTTTCTTGAAAGTCATATTTACATTCCAATTTTGTCTACTGACACAATGTCAAAAGTTTAATAACCTCATCGTTTAAGTTGTAGACACACGAGCGACTTCACTGGGTATCAATTTAACTGCATGTCATTAGTTTACTGAAGTACGACAATGCCTTTTATTAAGTTTGACAACCATTTTATTTGTACCAAAAAGGTCCATAATAGACAGTCTCTTTCTGAAATACAATATCGTTGTACCTTTTTGATATTTGTAAATTTCAATGTACCATGACTTGGTTTTGACTTTTATTAAAACATTTTTTTTTCATCCAATAACTTTTTATGGTCTCGGTCTGGGGCTAAAAACCACCTTTTCTCCTCTCCTGTTCCGAGTCAGGTCGCGATACATCACTGCGCTTTAGCGGCAACCTCGGTCAAAACTGTGATTGTATTGTGAACTCTATTACAATATATGTAGATATTTTATATTTTTAGAATATGTTTCGAGATAGTATTATATATTTTTTTTATGAGGGTAAATCATCAAATGACTTCTCCCGCCCAGGGCCGGGCAGGAGGGAGTGTCAGACTCTTACTGACTAAAAATCGGCCTGTTCTTTCTCCTGCTCTGTGCCGAGGTCGCGGTACCTCATTGCGCTTACCCCGCAACCCCGGCTGAGATAGTATTATATTTGACGTGACAAATACCATTGATTTCTCTTAATGATTTAAATGACTCATAAAGTTTCACCGCAAATTACATGGGCTTTTTCAATGATAGATTGACGGATTGAAACTAATTTAAATAGTTTGAGTTTATTTTTATATTTTGTATGGTGATCAAAAAATGCTACATAACATCATATGTAACGGTGTATACTGACACATAATAAATAATAGGTTTCCCTGTTTATAATTATATTAATAAAATAAACAGTGAATCACAAAATTAGGTGCAAAAGTGCTCAAATTCGATTTAAGTTAATATTATCGAAAATTTGGTTAATTGCAATATAATCTATTTTAGTAAATTTATTGTCTTAATTTGGTTCAATTACAGATGTCTTTAACTACAGCTTTGAAGGTGACCCTTAAGTTCCTGTCCTTACTAATCCTATTATAGGCTATCCTACTAATTAAGGGTCAAACAGACGTATCGATAAAATGACTTTCAGATTACCTCCGAATTGTTGAAGCGAAATAAATATTTCTTTCGAAATGATAAAAAGAGTCTGAATGATTGCCTTTTTTTCGTAAATAAATCCAAGTTTTTCTTGGTACTATATTTCTCTAAATGTTAATTTAATGAGTAATATTGTGTAGAAAGGAACATGACATAATGGCGCTCAACTCTTAATAAGTTCATAATCTAATAAGCTTTTAATTTATGATGATTAAGTTGCCTATAAGTGCCTGCATTAATCACCACGCTTACTTAATTGAGATTGGTGATTTCAATCTGACAATAAAAAAATGTAAGTCCAGCATACCTCGCGATATTTTCTACCATTTATGTATAAATCGGAAAAAGTAACATTGCTACATACCTTTTCCACTACACAAGACACACACATGCAAGAGAAGCGAGCTCAAAAACTTAAAACCCAGCCATAACGACAATTAAACTAATTATTACTTTATTTTATTTATATATTTAAAAAAAACCCTCGATAGAACACATTAGTTGACTAATTAACAACGATTTAGTTTAAGAGTGCGATAGCCATGCTTCGGTACGAATAGGTCGGCTCGACTAGAGTAAATCTGGGACCTCACTGAAAACAGGCGTGAAAAAATCGCAGCGTTGAGTTTCGCCGTATTAGTGAGGTAACCAGAGGCCCCATCCTTACCATTCCCCATACCTCCCTGATACCTAAATCTGCAAAAACCTTATCCCCAAAAGGCCGGTAATGCACTCGTAACTCCTCTGTTGGCGTCGATTGCTTACCGTCAGGTAATCCGTTTGCTCGTTTGCCGACCTGTCACATAAAATATTACAAATTAAAGAAGAAGCATTCAACAAAATTGCATCATATGTGACCGTGTGACTTAATGCAGTTATTTTGGACTCACACTCTAGCGAAACTATTGTGTTATTATATTCGTTGTGTACAAAAATAACAATAGAATGGCACGTCGCTGTTGTTCCAATGCTTTAGTTCCAGGAATAGTTTTGACAGGCGTCGGGAAAAATTATAAAGGGATTGCTTTGGTCAAAGCTAAATTTTGTTGGATCGTGCCAAGGCTGGCGTTGCTAGAGTTGGTACGTGTTTTCACTGGACTATAACTTAACTTATTCTCAACTTATATTGGATTAGAAATTGTCTTTAGATTAATTCTCGAACTAGTGTTTGTTAGCATGAAATCTAGTTAACACGTGACTTCTGAACGTTCTGCAACTACAGGAACAATTCTAAATCTAGTTTACCTAGTAAACCGTGAGTTCTGGTTTTGTTTTAATATATTGGTAGGTACTAGCTACCTGCCCCAGTTTTGCACGAGTTTCCACCATCTTGCTAACTTGCGCACGCGCAATGAGGCAGTGCGGTCTTGACTTGACTGCTTAAAGGAATAGTGGGTTTTTAGACTGTAAGGGTCTGTCACTCTCTCTCGCCACACCATGGGTGGGAGAATTTATTTTATGATTTTCCATTCACAAAATTGCGATAAATTATTTACTTGTACATGTACTTTCTGAATGAACTCTTGAATTAAAAGAAATTATTTTTAGAATGCACAGTTGTCGTTGACGCGGTAGCTAGGCAACCGGTTCACGAGCAAAGTGAAACCGAATAATTTTTTGTGTGATCCAAAAATCGCTTATCGTAGTCGTAGTCGTCGAGCTCATACGACACAGCATAAGATCTTAGTGTGCGGCATTAGAAAAACAACGGCTGATTTAAGCCAGTCTTATGGGAATAAAAAGTTGAAAACAAGAATTAAATGTAGTTTAAATTTATTTCAAAGTGTCAGCGCTTGTCTCTGCGTACATTGACTTCACTCATTCTTTGGTAAATTTAAAGTTAAAAACTTTTCTGGGTTAAATAAAAGTTCAATGAACTCGACCTTAGTTTCTCCAATTATTTTCTAAAAAGTTTTATCGCTTTACCGGTTTCAACTGAATGTCGTTATTCTATATTCAAAATGGCTTTTAATAAGTTCAACGTTAATTCTATATTCAAACTGACCTTTGATAAATTCAACGCTATGTTTTTATCGAAAAAAGGACAGCCTGTATAAATTTTTTGCGATGAATGTGAAATTAACCCTTTGACTCAGTGTGTTATGTTATATGAATGGGAATGTCAAATTTGAGAAGAAAAATATGAGAATTTTAATATAATATAATAGAAAAATGTATTGTTATATTAGTGGTGTCAAAAATATAGGATGAATAAAAAAAAACTAGGCACGTATGCAAAAAAGACAAAAAAGTTTTTGTTGTTAGAAATTTTCCAAATTTTTTAAAAATCCCGGTAGCTTTTTGTTTACCTTCCTTTCATTTTTCCATTCCTCGACTGACGTTCCAATTTGGCTGTTAAGTGAATCCGAATTCGATAACAAAAGGGCTTTGATGTTTAATGAAGGCTTTTTAATGCAGCTGGAAACAAAGACCCTTCAGACAAATTTACAATTAACTTCACTCACTTAGTAAGGATTCTATTTTTACTGTGTTTATTGTATTTTAATAGAGCGATATCGTCAATCGATATCGGAATTAATTTACTTGTTCACATATCCACAAGTCAGTCAAGTTCATTTTGAAGGCTGGATAAAAAACGATTTCATTTAAATCATTTTATCAATTGCCCCCAACAACTAAAAAAAACATTTTACCTTGGAAAATAATTACGGGTTAATAATTAAGGACTTATAATTTGCATATAACTAGATTTTGAAACGTTTGGATTTGATGAGATACCCCAATCGTTAATCTTCATTTTTTTATCGTACCTAATTGGCCAAGATTCAACTGTCCCTACCCATCTGTTTAGCGAAAAATATGTTAGGATGATACCCAGTATGCAAAATGTTTATACAGAACAATACTTCGGTACGAATGGGCTGGCTCGACCGTAACGGTAGTGATACCATGGCCACAGAAAACCGGCATAAAACAACCAAAGTCGTGTTTCGCTGTGTGAATGAGATTGCCGGAGCCCTAATCCTTCTACACCCCAATCCCTCCCCAATCTTTAATCCCCCTTACCCCAAAAGGCTAGCAGCGCTCTTGCAACTCCTGTATTGTTGTGAATGTTCATGGCGGCGCTGATTGATAACCACATAATTTAAAAACTAGTCTTCAAAAAATAGATACAATATTTTTAATATGTAAGATAATTAATTAATATTGTTTCTATTTTGCACACAGGTATCAAGTATTATTCTTCGTAGTGACGTACGCCATCCCAATGCTGGGAATGACCTTCTTCTACTCAGCTATGGGAAAAGTTCTATGGGGTTCAGGGTCCATCGGTGAACTGACGCAGCGACAAGTCGACTCGATACGATCGAAACGAAAGGTATTGTATGATTTCTTTAATTCGTAAAAAGTTTTAATCCGCTTAGAAATAGATTGATTAGAAACCAGTGTCATCATCATCGTCAGCCGGAAGACGTCCCCCTTAGGTCTCCACGTCAAACGACAAGTTGTCACCTGCATCCATTGGCTCCTTGCGACTCTGACAATGTCATTGGTCCACCCTTGTACAGGGGCCTGCCCGCGTTACATTTTCCGGTCCTTGGTCGTCACTCGAGAACTTTTCGGGCCCATTAGCCGTCCGTCCTTCAAGCGACAGGGCCTGCAGTTTTCACGAGCTATGTCGATAACTTTGGTTTTTTGGCCCATCCCCACATCTGTGTGAAGTCTGAGAGAGTAACACAATTTACTGTACCGTAGCAAAAAGCAGGAGATAACTGCAATTTCATTCAACTACAATTCCAAGCAAATTAATTCTTCCAAGAATGAGGGCTGAGCTATTATACAAACGAAGTTGCTTTCCTATCTGTGTCCTTATTTATAATAAACTTACGTTCAACTTTGAGAGTCACGAATTACTCGATAAAAGAGAGCAATATGTAGGATGGCTAATTGGTAATCCTTTCTACTCTACAAAATACTTTTTACAATAAAAGTTTCTGAAGTAATGTTATTATTAATGAATAAGACAGAAATTACTTGTAATCTAACATGTGCATGTCATTATCTTATGACTGAATACTGAAGTTATTGACATGTTGTAACACATTTTATGTTACTCTATTCAATACCAAATAAATCCTTTGACTTTGACTTTGTTGATAGTTGTTATCTAACAGACTTAGTAACATATTTGTTGACAACTAAGTCTCTGTTGCTTTGTTGTACAGACAAGATTGACTAAGTACTCACACAGTAGCTATTAACTAAAAATCGCGGGTTACTCACGTGTATATGTTGAGAAAAGCTCTACTAGTTTCGAACTACAGAGGGGTTCTCCCTCATGAGCAGCGTGCGCGGACGCGGCGACGTCGCGCACGCACGAAACTAGTAGAGCTTTTCTCAACATATACACGTGAGTAACCCGCGATTTTTAGTTAATTTAGTATGTCTCACGATAGTTATTATAAAAACACAGTAGCTATTGTTTCATTAAATTATATGGTTTTAATTAAGCCACATCTTTTGTCAATTATATCGGTCACATATATTGGCTTAGTAGGCAAACAATGGTTTGCTCGCATTCCAAATAACAGTGCAAATAATAGGTACAGTTTGTACGTGCAAAACGGATTTTAGATTCGATATCATTGGTGTGTAAAATTATCGGTAAACTGTTTGGAATTGTAATTTGTTTGTGTTATAAAAGTCTTTTAAACATTGGCTGATTATCGAGTCACCAAACTTTGGTGATTAGAGCATCAAGAAAGAGAATATATTATCTATTAAATGGTCTATATATTATGATGTATGGTAGCAGACATAAAGACAATACAAATTCAAACAGATTTAAACGTAAAGTTATAGTTACATTAGCTTCCGCCCGCGGCTTAGCAAGGGTGGTGTGTTGAAAACGCAGCCTATGTTTTAATACAGGCGGTTCAGCAGTTTTTGCGTCAGAATGTTCTTACAAGCTTTTACATTGATAGCATTAGTAGGATTATTAAGAAATATTTTGAGATTTAATATATAAATTTAAGTTAGAGTATCTATAGAATACTGAATTATAAGTTCATTTCATTTTATTACAATTACAATTTTCATATTTCAACATTTTAAAACTCCCTATTAACGATTTGTTAACCTATATTATCTCAGTATCTCAGGCGGTACAAATATTGATGTACACGTTCAAGCAAATCGTCTATCTACTTAAAATATTGCTTATTCAGTATCGTAACACATTGTGCTATTCACAGAAGGTCTATAATTCCATACATCTTGTTTGTTTTGCATTGAGTATGCTTTATCTTGAATCACTAAGCAAAATATTCGAACTTAAACAACAAGATTGTTCTCTCGATTTTCTTGAAAATCTATCTGTAATACTTTTCTTCTAGATTTTCAATGCTTCGTCTTTTTCGAAAGGTTGTTGCCAAACCAATGTTTTATTCAATTTCGTCCGCTCACGTTGTGTTTGTTCGCATTTTGGACGAAGTGGAGACAACGCGGTTCTTTTGGCACCGTGCCACCGGTCCCTAAATTGGAACGGATAGAACACTGAGCAAGACTAGGACTTCTAAGTTTTAAAAAACTATTTTCTTTTTTTTTTCTTTTTGCGTATCGTGATCAGTTTGTAAAGCTTTTTATTGGTGTCGACATATCTATTGGTTTTTGATGTAACAATTCTGAAACTATACTTGGTTCAGCAATATTTTTGACTGTGTCAAAATGTCATAATTATTATTAACACGTATCTTACCCTTTTTTATATATGTTAGCACGACTTAAAGTTCTCTTATAGACGATCTCTTGCCATATAGTCGTCAATATTTACAATCTACTTAAAATACCATTTACCTTAACTATTTTAACTATCATGAAATATATTTACTTGCTGTAGTTGTTATTTTGTATTTATTTTTAGTAAAGTAGTTATTACCGCAGTGTGAGTCAAGTCAAATGGGGTGGATTTAATTAGTTAGTATGACTAAAAGGGGTCTGACAGCTCCTTGTGCTTCACTGCCCTGACGGGTAAAGCCAGAGGCTCGATAATTTAGCCTCCCAAATCATAAATAATCAAAAACCACATCATTAATTTCGCTCAAATATATGACTACAATATATACTAGCGACCCGCCCGAGTTCAAACGAGTGTTATGCTCATACTGAATTTCTACTCTATTTAATGGATGCTATTAATATACATATACACATTTACCAACTATTACTCTACCTCTTAAAATATCCTATCAAAATCCACAGCATAGTTTTAAATATTTTTGCACATATAGGGACATAGGGACAGGGAAAGCGACTTCGTTTTATATTATGTACTGATATTATGTACCTATCTGTATTATGTATAATATTTTTAGTATTATAAAAGGTAAAATTTGTAAGTTTGTATGTAGGTGGTAATCTTTGGGACAGCTGGTCGAATTAGCAAAATTCTTTGATTAATAGATAGCTACAACGTTCCTGAGTGCTATAGGCTATAACATAGCACGCTACGATAAAATGGAGCCAAGAAGCGGGTAAAACCACGTGAGAGCAGCTAGTGTATAATATTTACGCGTGTTTAAAGACTCCAGTTCAATTGTTTTTCAACAAAAACCAAACCACAAAATATCAAACCCAAGTTTTTTAATCACGCTTTTTGTTCACAGGTTGTGAAAATGTTCATCTTAGTCATAGTAATCTTCGGTATCTGCTGGTTGCCATACCATTGTTACTTCATCTATACACACTTCAACCCTTCGATTCTCTACATGAAGTATGTACAGCACATGTATCTTGGATTCTACTGGCTAGCCATGGCCAACGCGATGGTCAATCCCATCATTTACTACTGGATGAATGCCAAGTAAGTTTCGCACTTATTAATTTGTATTATTCAAGTTGAATAAACTACTTTTTACTGATTTGAGATTCATTAAATGTATACAGCTGTAGTTGCGTAACTGCAAAGCGATATATGTAGCTCAAAAAATTTCAAGCCACACTATATAGGGGCTCATATTCATAATAGTAATGCGTGACACACGAAATATTATTTTGCTTTTTTTTGTTGCTTTAGATATCTCGTCTTTGACTGCACGATTGGTGCAATGGTTGGGCAACTGGTTGTCGTGCAAATTGTCGCGGGTTCGATTCCCGCACGGAAAAACTCTTTGTGTGATCCACAAATTGTTGTTCCGTGTCTGGGTGTCATGTGTATGTGAAATTTTATGTTTATAAGCCCACAACACAGGAGAAAATACTAACGTAGGGCACTAGAAACTAGCACGATTTAAAAAAATGTGCAAGTCGATAAATGATAAACTAAACTCCCTCGTATATTAAAATAAAATTACCAGTATTGAACACCAATAGGTTTTTTTAATAGACAAATAACTAATAAAAATATTTGTATAATATTTATTGGAATGTGAATTTTGAAATGTAAATTAACTACCAACCCACAAAACTATTGTTAATCAAAATTCAATTGTATACTTGTAAACATAAAGCAGTATTTGATTCAAATGTCAAAACATATTCAAAAGACGAATGAGTGAATCTTGTTAATTCAATTATTATTCGTTCTTTGTTCAATACTGGAACTACTATTGCTATACTATAGGGGTTTAAAACAAAAACCTTGGGACCACAAAAGGGTTTTAGTAATTAATAATTCGACGAATTGTTTTAAGGTCTATTATTGAAAATTGGCAAGTGATATGGAAATGTGATAGTGTTACAACAATGCCAATATTCTGTATTAGGTATCCCATTTAATTAAATAGTTGGAAATAGTTTATAGAAAATCGTTGACGTAAAAAACTATTCATGTATAAATGTTCATTTATATTAATTTACCTATCGTGTTTGCAATACTTGTTAATAAATATTACGTAATTCTGAATTATAAATTGAAATCAATTCAATTATTGACGAAACTAAATTACGTAATAATATTTTATGACTTTAAATATTTCCATGAAACAGAGTCGGTTTATTTGCTTTTAAACACACTTTTAAAGGTCGATCTGAAACGATCTGTGTAATAATATCAAGATAGGCAAATTATGCCATTTTAGATATTACACGCTATTTAAATATTATTTGGTTATTCTTGGATCCACCTGAAACTTATCAATCATATTAAGATTAGAAAAAAATACAATATTATGGTACAATCAAATTAATTAAACTGGTAGAATAGTGGAATTAGGAGTTGGAAGATGGCTGAAGGAAACGTAAAATACCTTTTAGTACCGTATCAAGTTTTGAGATCATGAGGTATATTCATTTATATTTATGACACGGACATAATATTTAATGTTAACAACAACCTGTAGGTTAAAAACTCTTTGTAATACCACGTTCGTGGAGGTCTAAATGTTTTTAACCCTAAAATAAAAAATCTAAATCTACATAATAATATAATTATATTTATCGTTCTAGTTTTATGACTTAAATATTAAGGTGCTATGCGTTAATCAATTCAATAATTAATCTTAAGAATCTTCATTTTATGCGGTACTAAATAATGTCTTTCAAAATTCAAATATGTCTACTTGGTTTGGTTTATAACGATAACATTATATGATTAAGAGTGAAAGGGCCGGCTAAAATGGTATGATATTGTGGTCTGTCAGAAATCCAGCGAGAAACAATGCAAGCATTTTGTTTCGCCTTGTGAGTGAGGTCATTGAAGACCCAATCCCTTAATTTTTAACAACCCCAAAAGGCCGGTAGCAAAATTGTTACACCATTATTGTCCATGTGCTCACACACCGATTGCCAATACTGCTCTATCCCACTATACATGATCATAAGCCGGAAGATGTCCTTTCCAGAACAAAGGGTCTCCCTTAGTCTTCCACGTCGAACGACAACTTACCACCTGCATCCTCAGCCAGGGTTGCAGGGTAAGTGTAATGAGGCACCGCGGCCTCGGCCCAGAGAAGAAGAAGGAACAGGGGAAAAGGGGGGTTTTTAATCAGTAAGAGTCTGACTTTCCCTCCCGCCCTGAAGTCATTTGATGATTTTCCCCTCACAAAAAAACACCTGCATCCATTGGCTCCCTGCGACTCTGACAATGTCGTCGATCCCACTGTTAATTAATTGTTAATTTATACATGTTGTTTTAAATATATTCTTGCAATATTAACTCGTATAAAAAAGGGCGTCAAAAAAAACTTATACCAAGCATCCTAAGCAAGAAAGCCATTAGGGAATACGCCTACCAGATGTCATCAATTATGACTCAAGCACGTGTAAGAGACATAAACGGGCTGAAGGAGGAAAAAAATCTAAAATTTATATATTTATATCTTAAAGTCCATTATGGAACAAATAAAATCGTGATTAATTCTTTCGCCTAGGAATTCTTCTCACCATTGATATTTCCATCGTAAAATTTTTGTTATTATTTTGGTACAGGTGAATTTTGAAAAATAAGTTACTGTAAGGCCACGTCTTTGATTTTATTTATTTCATAAACATTTGCATTCAAATCACTTCGCAGGTGTGAAGAACAGACTGTGCAATAGTAAAATATTTTCCACTTTCACGAATTCAATACCAAATGTCAAGAAGCTATACTTCTTAAGAAAAGTCATAATATTTTTTATTTCTTCATTAAAAAAAAACAAAGAGTTATAGTATCTTTGTTTTATTACATTTAAACGTGTTGTAAAGAGTTTTTGAATAAAGGAATGTTCCGATCCAAATTTGCCTTCGCAGGGAGAGCTCGGCTAAGATATTTGCCAAGTAAAAATCCTGCTGCTGTGAGAAACAAATTTGAACCTTAAGGTTTAATCTAAAGGTGCTATAAAAAACAACAAGTAAAATGCATTAAGGGGCATTGTCGAACAATGAAGTAGTTGAACCGATTCATTGAATGAACGTATTTGTTTCCGGGTTCGCTCGATCGTTCTATTGGACACATTGTGGGCCTGTTGAGGCGTGTGTGTCGGAATCGACGACCCGCGGCTAAATTCATTGCACTTGCATTAACTCGCCTTCCGTGAATATTTTGGAAATTTACACTTGAGATATAAACAAAGGATATTTGTAAAATAGCTTACAATTTAATAAAATTCGCTGAGTGATTTACGTACAGAGTGATAAGGAGTATGGATTGAATTGTTTCGTATTACATGGGATTCAAATTAAACTTTTCTTATACATTTATATCGTAAGTATATGTGGCACTGATGAAAACGTAATTATTTCTTTCGCCAAGCAATTAATTAAATTAAACCAACGAAATTATTCATTCACTCATTCATTAGGTCTCTCGACCTGATAGTAAGCAATCAGCACCGCCTATGGAGGTCTACAATACCAAAGCATGCGTTGACATCCTTTTGGAGATAAGGGATTTTGGAGAGTGTTTGGAGAGACATGGGAAGACGGAAAAGTGAATGTGGTCTCCGGTGACCACATTCACACGGCGGAATATTATTTTTTGATTGCATAACTCCGGCCGAGCCGGCCCATTTGTGCCAAAGCATGGCTCTCCTACACTTGCAAAAATTCTACCATAAACGTTATTTCAAAGAAGAGGAACACTTGTATGTATGGAGGAGAATACACAGGAGAAAATCCTAGTCTTTAAAATATTTTTCAAGGTTCATAAATTCATATTTTTCTGGGTTAATATTTTCGTGATAGTCACATAGCAACTGGTGAAAAATTTAATGTATCATTTAGAATTTATTTCATAATTATTTAGTTTAGCTCTGGACGGATATTTTGGGTAAAGGTTTATTTAAATATTCGTTATGCTAACTTCAATTGCTGTAGGTTTTGGCTGTAAGGCCCCAGTGGTAAACTAATGACTAAACTTTCTAGTTAGACTGTTTTGTACAGTCAGTTATTTACATTCAGACAAGGGAATAATAATTATTATAAAAAAGTTTAAAATACATTTATTTCACTTATTTATTTATTCACTAGCTAAAGTCGCGCGGTTTGCTCGGCTCCATTTAATCCTAGCGTGATGTTTCATAGCCTCAGAAACAATGTCGCTATCTTTCAGTAAAAGAATTTTGGCAATCCGTCCGGCGGTTCCAAATTTTACCTTCGACATACAAACTTACAACTTTTACCTCTTTATAATATTAGTATAGATTAATTAAAATTATTTACATTTAAGTTGTCGTGGTAGTTCGGCCTCGTGACTTTTTCCAATTTATATGTACTTTCTAAGATTATTTAGACCACTACTAACAAGCAGTGAAGGAAAACATAGTGAGGAAACCTGGACTTATAAGTTTGAAGCTGCGAACCCGCTTTGAACAAGTGTTGAGATTAATGCTCCAATTTTCTCCGTGTGAGATAGATAAGGCCTTTGTTCAGCAGTGGGCACTTGTAGGCTAATGATGACATAAGTCTATGGTGGCTTTACTTGTTCTACTATATGCTTGCTTTGTGCACCTACTAGTGTGACTGCATCACCCAACGGTTTGACAAGTAGAACAGAATAGAATGCCAGTGAAAACCTGGCCTAATGCCATGACATCTTCTGCTAGTCTACATAGTCCACCTTATGTACAATGTTTTTAGTCCATGAAGCGAATTAAATAAATAAATACGTAACCCATATAATGTGTAATCTATATTCGTATAGACAAGCATATTTAAATGGTTTTAGTAAGCATTCCAAATGATTTTTTGTCTCGAAATTTAGTTTATTTTAGCTATAACGATATAGAACTTAATTAAAAAAGAAAATGTATTCCAAAAATACTTTATCTAGTGAAAACTAAGTAACGGGCTTTTAAGCCAGAAATTTTTCACAAAGAAAGCCCAAGCCTTTTGCAAAAACAATACAAACCTATGTCAAAAGTCACATAAGTGTCGTAAAAGTAAACACATTTTAAAACAAAAAATCAAATTAAAATTTTCTGAACTAAATTATAATTCGTCGTACAAATATTGAGGTTTGTGAAAAAAGGCCTGTACAGAACGCTTACCTAGAAAAAAAACGACAAAATATTCTAATAATAAAATATCTAACATGCCTGTATTAGCCAGTAAAAATGTAGGTTATGCTTGTGAAGCTGACGGGGCGTATAAAAATATGTACCGATTAACCTGCGCTATTTGATTTAATCTTTAAACGATTTTTTTATTAATTTTTCGATAGGTATTACATAATATATTTTTATTCACAGTTACATAAAGGTACATAAAGATACGAGTTTTAACAAATGTTTTGTTTTTCTTTTTCATTAATAAATATATAGTCCCTACTTTAGAGTTTCTCCTCTGTCGTGTGTGGGTTTCTAAACATATTATTACGAAAACACATCACACCCAGACCCGGAATGATAGATTGTGGATCGCACATAGGTTTTTGGATAGAAAGTATCGCGTGACGTACTAAGCTAATTGAAAATAGAAAGAATATATTTTACGTCAATTAACTAAGAAAAGCTCTACTAGTTTCGAGTTTCAAAGGGACTCTTATTCACGAGCAACGTGCGCGCGACAACATCGCGGTGCCGTCGATCGGCAGTTTTCAGTTCATTCACGCGAGTTACTAAGTTATTTTCAATAACACAGAAAGTTGTTCGGTGCGTTCGGTTTCAAGGCAGCCGGTTACCCAGCCACCGTGTTAACTGTAGTTTATAAATATAACAGGTTACATACGCATGTATCGTACGCAAAATTATTAGTGTGATCATGACGCTTGTAACTCCACTTACAATTTCTCCGCAAATACAATATAAAAAAGTACTTTAGAGTCTTATTAAATTCACTTCGTATATTTTCTATGAACTATTCACATGTCTTTAAAAAATCCATGCCCAGTTTCCAATTTACGACTTCTTTCGATAGATAAAGGTTTTAAATTTACTAGCAGACTTTTATAACAAAGATTATTCAGCAATTTATAAATTAAAATTCGCTATAAAACTCCTTTTTTATTTTTTGGTCTTTATAATTAATTGATTATTTACATTCTAATTGAAATTCTAGAATAGAAATTGTATTATATTGTGTGTAATACTAATACTTTCATAAAAAAAACAATTTACAATTTACCAAATAATTAATTGAATACTGATACAAATTTGAATGAAATCTATTTTACAAATTAGTAGACCATTTCGTTTAAAAAAATGTGTAATATACGTCAATAAGGTCGATTTTCAGCTCTTTGTTTAAAACGTTGCTAATGCCACAAGCTTCTTAGTTGAAAGGAACTGTAGCACAGACTCTTACGGCCTTATTACAAAACAAGGTTTAACTTTAGTCTAGGCCTAAACCATTGAGCCAGTTTTCGTATTTCGAATTGAAGGTAGATGACAATAAGATTCAATTTTTTTTAAATAAAATTTAATTTTTTTTTTAATTTTTTTAGTCGGGTTTTGAAACCTGACTCAATGGTTTAAACCTGGACTAAAGATAAACCTTGTTTTGTAATAAAGGGGTAATAGTCTTCTGTATTGAAGGTACCTGTGCCCAGCAGAGGATAGAATTATGATGATAATAATTAAATCCAATTAATATGCTGCTGTGTAAAAGCTCTGTTCTAAAATCACGAATACATATCAATCGTCTTACTAGAAAAATATTTATTTTAAATATACTAACGAAGTTTCTTCTTTCACAGATTCAGGACATACTTTCGAACAGCTATCCTGTGCCGTTGGCGCGATATCCTGCGCCGGCGCAAGCGGCCCCTACCAGAGTCCCCACCCGACTGTATATCACAGTCCGGGAGTCGATCCCGATCAGGTTTTTACTCGTTAACGTAATTATTAAAAGTGATCTTTGGTATCATTCATTTTCGTCGACAGTCATTCGTTTGAAGTTTGCACGTATTAGGTGTTCCTTTTTATATGCACTTAGATTTTTTGATTTGATCTTTTAGAGAAGAACGCATAGTTCTATTGAATTTCTTTAAATTGTATTGCAATCAAAGGTAATTACAAAACATTTTACCACAATTACATGTTTATAGTTTTTAGATTGATACTACGTAAGGGTTATTTCAATGCTTGTATCTATTCTGTCAGTTAGTCGAACTGCAACCTAATTGACAAAAGCCATTTAAATAACGTTTAGTGTGTACGGAAGTTTTTATAGTTACATCAAATAGTCTGCTTCTCTCTCTCTCTCTTTAAATTATTTTTCGAAAAACTGCATCATTTCATTCTTAGACCTTGATCTTCAGCCGGGTTTGCGGGGTAAGCGCAATGAGGCACCGCGACCTCGGCCCAGAGCAGGAGAAGGAACAGGAGGGTTTTTAGTCAGTAAGAGTCTGACACTCCCTCCCGCCCCTCAATCATAAGAAGTCATTTAATGATTTTCCGCTCACAAAAAAGACCTTAATCTTAAATTAAATCTTGAAGCTAGAAGAGAAACCCGGACCACGTAATCGTTCAAAATCACTTAAGATATTATTTCTCTCTTGTTACTCATTGTTAGATAACCTTTACTACTAAAATATATAGCGGCATTATTATTTTTGACGTTTATTTCACGAGTTATTTTTATACACATTGTTATAAGTTAAGCTAGGACTTATTGTTGACGTTGGAGCAAAACATTTTTCTTAGCAACTATAAAAACACGATTTTTGTCAAGACAATAGCGACAGAAGTTTAAGAAAATCCTCTTTGTGTAAAAATAAATAGTTATTCACACGTTTGTGTACGCTAAGACGCTCTCACATCGTCGAGTTGATCATAGCATTTTGTAATAGGGTCTTTTTTATTGTAATAATGTATGTTAAGAACCCGTATCCACTTGAAAACATGCTGAAGCTGATAAAAATGACATGGGTCGAGGAAAAACCGTATAAGCCACGCTTGAGCTATTTTTAACGCTTACCTAATAAAGAAATGTGATGTAAAACGAAAGATAAAAAGATACAAAATGTCATCTTTTATCTTTTCATAAGTAAAAGTGTGTCAGATGTTATGTGGAGAAATTTGTAAATAGGTTTTTATTGTTATGTAGAATAGAGTTCCATTAGCATAAAGTTTATTTCTTGCTTAGGAAATGTAAGAAATAATATTTACTTTATTACAATAATAAAATATGTTCTATAAGTACAGATTGGTCGAATTTCTGTGCGTGTAAATGCTAAATACTAAAAAAATTCAACCTAATATTGTTAATTATTCTCTGCTTATTGAACGTCTTTACGGATCTAGTAGGTAAAAATAATAAATACCTATAAAATTAAATGGGAAATGAGTGACGATGGAGTTTATTTTCCGTTCTCTATTTGAATCTAATCTTTAGGACAAGCGCCTAGCTTCACTGACAAACCGACTATTGGACCATTATTCTATATTCGGTTTAGTTTGAATAAGTATTATTTTTTTTACTTCTCTTTGAATTTTTTGCAATATGAATTTATTTAATTGACTAGTTAAAAAAAACAATAAAAATCTACCTACAAGAAATAATAAGATGGACAGCCTCGATGGTAGAGTGATCACTAGAGCGATCGCAGAACATGCAGCTGATGTCCAACTTTTGGATCAGACAAAGTATCATTTTATTTATTTATTTATTTATTATTGCTTAGAACATTATTGCTTAGTACATTTTACATTATAAAAAGTATAATATGTCCAACAAAACTGTATACACAGTTTGTCTGTTGGATCAGATTTCTAAACTATTGGTACTTACTATAGGTTCTATTAAGTTAAGTTTACAATAATAATAAAATTAATGTATTAGTATATATATTAGTATGATATATGTATATGTGTGTAGTATAGGTAATATATTATGTTTTCGATCTTTAAGTAACCATTACCATATATTTATTAAAATTACTCTAAAATTACATTTTTAAATATAACTATAAAATAAAATAATTTTTAAAAATATAAAAATAGGAGCCAGCCAGCAGCGGGAGCACGGTCCAAGCTACCGGCAGTTAGGGCTCCAGAGACATGAACCTCCTCACAATACGTGCCGTTTCAAGGAGAACTGCCTTCTGTATGAGGCCCTTGATCCATCCGCCTAACGTCAGCCTCTTAAGGTGGTTGTCGAGGCTTTTGGGGACTAACCCATTTGCCGACACAACTATCAAGTAACAATAATTATTATGGTTGAGAAACCAAATAAACTGCAAATTCGTGTTGAAACGATTTCCTCATAATACTGCTAGTATTATGAGGAAATCGTTTCAGCTTATTATAAAGATCAATCCAATCCCAATCTTGTCCCTCTCTCAATTCCTCTCCAATCCCAAAATCTCCAAAAGATCGGCAACGCACTCGTAAGTCCTCCATTGTTGCGGTTATTCATGGGCGGCGTTGATTGCTTACTATCAGGTGCGAGTGCGTTGCCGGCCTTTTAGGGATAAGAGTTTCAATATTTAATGATTGGGAAGAGATAGGGCGAGGGGTAGGGACACTTTGCACGGCAGCCAGTTGCCCAGCCATCGCACCAACCGTGCAGTGCAGATTTTTAAGATGTTTTTCATGTCTAGTAAAATATAGTCAAAATGTTTATATGTTCATAACTGTTGATATCATATTTCAGTCTAAGTGAATCTAACGTAACTTATCTCTGAAGTCGTTAGACTCAATTTCTATTTCCTAGAAATAAGGAGCACTCAACTTGATTCTGAACATTAGTAAAAAAATACATTTGAGTGGTCAGTCATTTTATAGGCAAATCTTACAGACACCACTTATACCAGAATTATACAAGGCCAACATCAAGTTTTTACTTGCAGCTTAAACTCCTAATATTTTAAGTTTATACATGATTTTAAGTTTGTATCTAAAGATAAAATAATCTTTGTCGGTAGTTATCTTTTTAGATCGTAGTGTTTTGAGAATCCGTACTAAGTTAAATTAAAATTGATTCAGTTCTTATAATGTTTGAATAAAAATTTTGAAGAAAACTCAAGACACGTAAACGCTGCACGCTAAAGCACGATTTTTTTCTTATCATATTTTATTTCTTTAAGACTAAGAAAGAAAGTAAGGTAGTGTAGTGTTTATATCAAAAAGTAAAAAATAAAAACAATATATCAACAAAAGTAAACATTTCTTTCCCCAGTTATGGGTTTAAAAAAGGAAGGTAGATTTGAATTGAGATGAACGAGCAAGGATTTTTTTACAATACTTTGAAGTCTCTGGGGTCAATAGCATGTGCGAACAATGAGCCTTTTAAAATGCAATTAGGAATAAATTCATCACTAGTTAATGAACTTGTTAAAATTCTTCCCTGATTGGATTGATGCCAATATTCTGACGTGTGACTAACTTCATTGTGTTGTCGTGTGGTTAATACATCAACTATCTAGGAAAATATAATAACTTAATAGCGGTTTCCAACTACGCTTCAAGCCATATAAATATTTATGATGTTGTAACTAGAATACATTTTGTCATGACAAGTTTATTAGGCCCTCTACGAGCACTAAATTTTAGACATAAAAAGACAACTTATGTAGCACATAAATAAAGTTATGAATATAGCATTGAATAATAGAATTTAATACCACAGATACAAAAAAAAGAACACGATTCTTATTTAATATTTTAATACAAAATTTAACATTTAAAATATAAATTTATATCAAAACATACATACACGCGTGTAAGTTATCATAATCTGCGTCGAAAGCTCATATTTTTAACAAATATCTATTATGCACTGGCATATTATTTGTTTAAAATAGCTGCTAGGAAAATTCAATTCAATAATACAGTAGTCAAATCAATGAACGTAATTATGTCGACACGCTGTCGCGCTGCTACTGAGTAGCAGCGCGACAGTCGCCGTGTCGACGCATGTCGCGGCGTGTCGCGGAATGCTGCTCATGAATCAGGGCCTCTAGCATGGCTTGAAACTAGTCGAGTATCTCGTCAAATTATTACGTGAGTAAGCCGAAAACATAACAATTAATTTAGAATGTCTATATTTTATTAAAAAGTTTAATTATTTATTTTTGACAAAGGAACATACTTAATTGTATAAATTCATGAAAATGTGTAGTTGTATATTTTATGTTTGTAACTCTTTTACAAAAAAACAGCGAACGGAATCTAAACAAAACTTAGTAAAGAGATCGGTTAAAGACTGAAACAACTAGCTGAGGCTAATAATGTAGAAGTGATAAGACAGAAAAAACAAAAAAGCTGTATAGTTTTATTTAATTTTGTGTTGAAAAGCTAGTAATTCTTCAAATCAGAGTATTATAAGAACCTCCATACTACATACGTTTTCTTTTAATGAGACATGGTCGCCATATTTTTTATAACCGTTGCAGTTAAAAATATATTCAACTATATATATGTACATATATAGCATCTATAAAAGATACAACCGGGATAGCACCGGACACTGAAGTAGGTACGGTGCACCCTAGCGACATGAATCCCGCTACGAAATAAATAAATTTCGTAGCGGGATATATATATTTGTGGTGGTAGTGTACCACCACAAATATATATATTACAAGTATTTGACTAACATCGAACGAATTGGACGTTCTAATAATATGATAAGTATCACTTCCAATCCTCAAATCCTCTTCAGATTTTACTGGATACTCAGAAGAAAGGCTTATGAAAGCTGGACAAACAAGAAAAGATTATTATCAATAAAAAACATACCTAGAAAAACTGCTTCTTCAATTTCGGCTTTTTCTTCGAATCCGTAAATCGCAGAATCATAGCAGTCGATACATTTGTAATGCTGATAAAAGTGTAACATAGAGGCTCATATTGGACAGATTTTCGATCCAGAATAAAAGCATAAGTCCCTAAGGATACAGTTAGAGTCAGATGATGTATTCTCGGCCCTATATATGATATCCAATACTTGTCAGTCCCTTGGCACTTATCGGCCGGTTTCAATGATCAAATTAGCTCTGGCCACGCTCATATTTCTTAGACACATTCCTAGCATTTTTCGGGGATATAAATTAGATACTATTTTTGTAAGTAATAAATATCTTGGTCGAGAAAATTGTGTCTAGAAGGGAACTGTAACAAATCGATACAATACATGATGTACGTAATTATATTAAAATCAAGAATCATAAGTTATTAACGTGAGTTTGAGTTTAGTTTGTACGTTTGTAGCTAGCTAGCTTCATCAGATTTAACTCAGGTAAAGAGACAGATTTAGACAATGCAGTTGTAGATGGTTATGGTTTATTATTTCGTTATTTTCAACGTATTAATCACGCGAATAAACTGAAAAAAGTTTCAAGTCAAAACTGGATTCTTATTCATAAGTGACGAGCGCGTTGCGGCAGCCTAATCTTGAGAGTTCCCCGTCCCGTTGTGACTTTACACTAGTAAAGTCTTACTCAGTGAATGCTCGTAAATCAAGAAGTTATTTTCAAATAATTTAGTCTCTTGCTACTGTTATTATACAAAAATGGTTTCTTTTTAGTTTATTTAATCTTAAAAACAAGAAGACATGAGTAAGAAACTTTAATTGAGAAGGTTTTTAACTGATTGCCAAAATTTAAAAACATGAGTAAAAGTCTTCGCTTATAAACTAGTTTCTAACAACTTCTGGAAGGTTCAGAAGTTATTTAAGAGTTTATAAGATGATATTATTATAATAACTTATCTATCTATGGAAACTATTATGGTCTATCTAGAACACTATAATCTTATTACATTGCTCTTTATCATTAATTATAATTAGTTATATAAATTCCAATGCACATAATGATGACCATTTAATCTAGTACATGTCTTTGATCTTACATTGTATGGCATTTCACATCACTGGCTTATAAACGCAGTCGACTGATTGAATAATTATAGTAAGAAGCCTTTGGTCGCCTGTTTGCAGTTAATGAAGTAGATACAATTTGTTAATAAATTTAATGCCAAGGTTATTTTAACCATAAGTGATGACTAATGTATATATGTATATAGCACGACAGGGATACATGACAAATCCAGTTTATCTTGATCTCTGCTTTCTAAGCGTTTTGTACGGATTCAAAGGTCATTTAATACCAGCTTTTTAGTAAGAAACAAAAAGTGAAAAGTAGTTATTTCTAAAAGATCACTTAAGTCCATCATTAAACGTGCAATTTGTTAGAAATTCGACTTTATTTTGATTATAAAAAATAGTTAAGAAAAATATTCATTAAATGGTCTTGTCCCATAATAGATTTTGCACTCTAGCTAACTGCCATTTAGGTCTAAATTTGCACCGTCCGGAATAATTATGTTTCTTATGAAACTTCCACAATAATCCCCTTGAAGTATTCGTCTCTACAGGTATCGAGGAACTCAGAAATTCAAGAGGCAGTGCAGTAAGCGAATGGCAGCGCTCGTCGTATCGGATGTACAACGACCTCCCGTTGCAGAGACCGCATTTGCTTGCTAGCTGCCCTAAATGTCCTCATGGAATTTATTATGATGGTAAGAAAATAAATTCGTTATATTTTTGTCACAGAGATCCGATGAACTTATATTTACGTAAGCTTGGTTAGAAAAACAAGTGTAGAAGCGCCATGCTTCCACACGAATGGGTCGGCTCGACCACAGTGATACCACGTACTTAAAGAAAACCAACGTGAAACAACCACAGCGTTGTGTTTTGCCGTGTGAGTGAGGTTACCGTAGGCCCAAGGTTTTCCCTCCACCTAACCCCTAAATCTCCGAATCCCTAATCCCCAAAAGGTCAGCAACGCACTTATAACTCCTCTGTGCTGCTAACTACTATGGCCATCAGGTAAACCATCTGCTCGTTTGCCGACGAATTGTGAGATTAAACTTACCCACTCATTTCTCAAGAAAAAATGTAGAAAAAATATCATGTTACTCTCTATCTTTTTATGTAAAGAAATGCTCTATACGAATATGCTTTCTGTAAGGTCGTATTATCACTCCGGTCGCGTTGGCCCATTCATGCTAAACCATGGCTCTGCTATGAAATTATAATTTTACATAATACTTATTCAATAACCAAAAATGAAAGTTTATTGGACGATAGTATAAAGTTTTTGTGACTGCTATTGATATAAACAATGGA